GCTGTCTCCTGACTGTTTCTGGGAAAGATAGGAAAGGGAGGTGACGTCAGACAATGCAGGGACTCCTCAGGTCAGGGGACTGGTTGAAGTCAGACTTCTCTCTGCCTTAATGTACTCTTTTCGGTGGCAACCTAAATCAGCCTCTGGATAGCCCAGTGAGCCTTGTTTCTTTCTTTTTTTGAGATATGAAAATGCTAACTACCTTTCACTCTTTCTTGCCTTCAAGGAAATATCTTAGCAGCATTTCATCTTGCAAGAAATCAAGGAAAGGCTGTCTGATGGCACTGGGAAGAAGGCAGTAAAGAAAGGCCACTCAAATTTATTATTCAATCCCATCTTTCCCTTGTAACATCCTGGCTCTTGCCCTCCTGTCACAGACAGACTTTTTCACTGGCCCACTACATTCACTACTTTATTTCCACATCTCTGATTACATTACTTAAGCTACCCCAACCTGGCTGTAATCTCCATTATTCTACTAAAAATACTCTTTCAAGATCACTAATTACACTTCAGTCACTCAATATAGAAGAATTAGAACAGTTAATCGGCACAGGCATCTCCCCTTCCAACCTGAAACATTGTCTTCTCTTGATTTCCATGGTACAACAATCTCCAATTTTCCTTTTCCTTTTTTGAATTTGCATTCTCATATCATCTTCAGCTCTCCTTTTATACAACACAATTAGATGTTAGCATTTCTCAAAGCCTAATTATGGACCTCCTTCTTTTTTACTCTCAGGGATCACTGAGTAATCCAAACAATTAAAGAAAACTGGAGAGTGTATACCTGAAATTAAAAGAACAGGAACAACTTATCTCTAATCATTATTTCTGTGTAAGAATGTGGGCCCAGTTTTTCCAGAGAAATTGAGAATTCTGATTTTTATATAAAAATATTATGCTTTTTATTTTTTTATAGTTATGATAGGGTAGCTGTAGTAGACCAACCCTCACTCCAAAGGAAAAAAATTTTATACTGTATAAAAATTGTTTTGAAATTATCTATTCGAAGTAATCGTAAAGCAACACAGTAAGTAAGATCTTGAAAGGCTAAGATCCAAGAGAAAAGAACATTGAGTGAACTTACTAGTCTCTGCTGTTTCTTCCCTACTAATTGGCACCAAGTGGGAGGTCAAGTTGAATTTTAAAGCTAAGAGCTCTCAGAGGTCTGATAGGGCTGGGAGGAAGAAAAGTGGAGTTGAGGGTTGTCAAGGCAGCTAGGAATTAGGAGGACTACATTTGGAAGAAAGAGAATTGGAGAACTGTGAGCATGACTTTCTGTGCTTTCTTTTTTCCATGAGGATATTGTAGGGGCCTACTTAACCAGAGCGACTCCATCTCGGTTAAACAGGCATTTTGTTGTTTGTGCAGTAAAACTTAAACTGCCCCCCCCCCCCCCGCCCCCCAGAGGAAGAACTTACTTAAAAGCGAGTCTGGGAAACCAGTAAAATATGGTCGACCTGGTCCTGATAACAGAGCCCAAATACAAGGACAGGTCAGGTCAGGTGGAGATAACAGAGCCCAAATACAAGGATGAGTCAGGCCACGTGGAGACAATCTCATTGGCCAGGTTCAACCACATGGCCTTTGCTCTATAAAAGCTAGTCTGTGAAGCTGGGGTGGTTGCTCTCTCCGTAAGAGACGGCCCAGGTCGGTCGGTTTGATTCTTGGTGCTGGCACGAAATAAAGCTTTGCTTGACCTTCGCTTTGTATCAGTCTCACTCCTTTGATCACGGACCCCATCAGATATTATTTATTCCTAACATTTTCAATGTAAGAGGCTGAGAAGCCAGGAAGAAAAGACCAGTTAAGAAGCTAAAAAGCTAAGCAGAGTTTTGCCAGTCTCAACATGCTAGAGAGGGAGAAGTTGGCATTCAAGGCCTGGCAAGGGGATGATCCCAGGTAAACATCCTTTCAGTTGATGTTCTTTAAATGTCCTACTTGAGGATTACTTCAAACTAGAAATAGAATAGCTCTCAGAAAGCCTGAAGTCAGCTTCTGTGCTTCCCATTCCCTGATTGTATCAAGGTGATCAATCCCTCCTGTAACTACCTGTAACAAAACGAATAAACACTCTCTGCTGAAAGTTAGCATTATTCAGAGTTTCTACACAGTAGTCAGCACTCTATAAATATGATTGGAGTCAGTTTTACCTTTGCCTTAATTTATGTTTTTCTTTAGCAACCTAAATTAGCTTCTAGATGGGCCCTCAAATGTGGTTCCTTCTAGTTGCTGAGATATGGCAACGTTGATAGTGTCTTTCATTTACTTTTTGCCCTTAAGAAATAAATAAGTAAAATAATTACCATGAATGACAATAGACTCAAATGACCAAAAACAAGGAGAAAAGAAACAGATAATGGAGACAACCTATAGATGATCTAGAGCTAATACAGTAGACTTACTTTAACTGTGATTAACATGTTTAAAAAATTGGGTGATAGCAAGGTGCCCAGTGGCAGTGAGGAGGGGTGACTCTAGTATCACAGGTACAGGGATTTTACCTGCTTTTTAGCCGCCAAGAAGACAGATCAGGAAGCTATTGCAAGGACGTTCCAAAGGGATGCTGGGCTGCTTCAGTGCCCAGGCCAGCTGGACAAAGTGGAGCACCATGGCAGAAAAGAGGCCTGGAAAAGGGGCCTCCACAGATGCCAGATGGAAGATCACTATCCATTTATGGGTGTACAGGTTCATTGTATGGCCCTGAGCCAGCTCCATAAGGCACTGAACAAAATCAGAAACAACCACAAGTCCCTTGATGATGTCAGCAAAGACTGGAGACAGAGTAATAGTGACACTGAGAGCCTCAAGTACGTGAAGCATGCTGTGATGTGGCAAAGCCAGATCACTACAGCTTCAGAGATCCTCAAGAACATCTCAGGACCCCAAATTGTGAGGGAAACCCAGGACCTCATTGTACTAGGGACATTCCTGCAGGCCCACTGAGAGCTGGTGGACCTGGAGTGCTCATTCCCAAGAAGGGCTGATGTATAAGCCATCCCACATGAACAGAGGGAATATGCACAGCATGACTCTTATCCATGGCTACTTTGGGAGCATACAGGGCCTCTCAGATGAGCTGGCCAAGCGATGCTGCAGAGTTTGCTGGTCATTGTCTCCTGTGACCCCTGCTGCTAGTCTCAGTTTTCAGGATCAGAAAAAAGGAAGAAATTGACCAATGTGTATCTGACCAAAAAAAAGCAATCTAGCTTGGTTTCTCCCCAGAGGCCCAAGAATTGCAAGGAGAAAATGGTTGCCATCTTGGAACCATGAATACTAGAATTGAGGCCACACAGGCAGACCCCAGAGATTCCAACAAGATGTGGTTTCTCTGCCACCCAGAAATCATAAGGAAGTATGTCTTGGATAACCCATCATCGCCAAAATCCTGATAGTTGAGTGTTTTCCTGACCATTATGAGATTTTCAGAAACCATCTGAAAATGTACCACCAGGCTCTGAGAAAATGGATGCAGGAGCTTGAGTCAGAAGATCTAGACGCAAAAGAGGTCATGAGCCTGTGGTTGACATAGCTCTCAAACATCTACACAAGCACAGAGATGACCAGGAATGTGGAATTGCCTCAAAAGTAGATATCCATCCCCTGGAAACTTTACTTTCTCTAAAATAGTCTCTGATCTTCTCCACAGGTAGATGTCAATTCTCACTTCAGACATTATTACCTGGCTGCAAAAAGCACTTGAAACAGAAAAGAAAGACTGGGTAAAACATGCTGAGCCTGAAGCTTGACTAGAGTGGGTACCTGCAGGTAACACTCCCTTCTACATGTTGGAACAAATTTTTGAAGTTGCTGCTCAGATAAGTGAAAACAAAGGTTTGTGACACAAACTGGTCTGTGTCTTCAGAAAATGAATTCTTTGTTAAGTAGATGCAAAGAAGAAGTTCAGTTTTATAAAGAAGAGCTGAGAAGTCAACAATGCCCACACTAGGTTTAATATATTATAACCATCAACTGTAAGAGTTTTGAAGAATTCATAGTTGGTTTAAAAAGGGAGTATTTTTAAAAATGAAATAGAAGAGGGTATATCCCTGAGCCAACCAAACATGAATGGGATTTCAAACACCGTTGCAAAGGAGGGCTGCAGCAGCCTGCTGGGGGAGATCTTCCTGGACCTGGAGCAACATCTCAATGAGTTGATGACAAAGAACTGGCTGTTAGCATCAAACACTGTAAAAATCCCCCGTCTCACTGTGGAAGAATATTTCAATGATTTTGCCAAAGTAAAAAATCCATATAAAAAGAAGAGGATGGCAAGTGGACCTGTGGGCCATCATGCAGAAGGGCATTTCATTCTGGAGCACAGGGAGGTTCTGAGGGGATGGTCAGGGAGGCTGAGCAATTCCACTTCTTGTTCCAGCAGCTGGCTTGTGGATTTGGTGAAGATATAGGTGGACATGGTGACATTATCACTGCCGCTGCAGAAGTTATTAAGATTACTGACCCTTCCCTGCTCTATGTGGACATCTCACTGATCAGCAAACAGCCAGACTTTAGGGATGACCACATCAGCATGCTCCTGGCTGTGTGAAGGGACACTGGCCCAGCAGGACACAAAGCAGACTATGATCAAGACTCTGGAATAGGGCCCAATGCAGGTGAATCTAAACTACATGCCTATCTTCAAGGAAATCGTAGTTGCTAGTATGAATATGGCAGAGCTTTTCAAATAACCTGCCAGTTTTCAGCTTTATGTACATTATTTGCTCTCATCAAACCTACCCTCATAAATATATTAAAGCAAAAGTGACTCTTGAGGGGTCACACTAGATGTTTCAGTCCCTTGTACCTATCTCTTGAAGGGCTAAGCATGTTTGTGAGGTACCCTCACACAAGGCTTCTTGAAGAAAGCATTACACTGCTGGTTGTGATTCTTCAAGTTCTCTCATTTTTGTTGTAAGCACTTTTCTGAGGCATAATTCTGGTGTCAAATGCCTATTTATGGTAGATTGTTTATCACAGTGGTGAGAAGGTGTGTGGAGGGGGAAGAATACTGTCTTCATTCACCCCTTGGTCTTTACTCATTTCTGCATTAAGACTTCTAAAACTCTGCTGCTTAATAAATGAGGCTGAAGTCCTGCAGAGAAATAAAAAGGAAAAGAAAGGAAAAAGAAAAATTAGGTGACAAGATGGAGAAAGTTACCAAAAAATGATGATCCATCAAAAAAATTTTAAGGAATAATAACTTTTTTCCCCAGCATTATTGAGGTATATTTGATATATAAGTAAGTTTAAAGTGTACATAGATATATGTATGTATAACAAAATGATTACTATAATAAGGTTACTTAGCACACAACTTTAATATTCATAATATAGTATTGTTAACTATAGTCACCATGCTGTATGTTAGATTTCCCAGGACTTATACTTTGTACTCTTTGACCACAATCACCCATTTCTCCCACATCCAGCCCCTGGAAACCACCTTGTTTCTCCTTGTTTTATGCATAGAAATGAGATTATATAGTATTTGTCTTTGAGCAACTTACTTCACTTAGCATAATGACCTCAAGTGTCATATATGTTGTTACAAATGGCAGGATTTCCTTTCTTTTTTATGACCAAATAATATGCCATTGTATCAATGTTCCACATTTTCTTTATCTCTCATCTGTTGATGGGCACTTAGGTTGTTTCCATGTCTTGGCTCCCATAAATAATGCTGCAACAAACATGAGGGGGGGTGCAAATATCTCTCTACTAATCACTAATCCCTAATAAGATAGTGATTTCATTTCCTTTGGGTGTATGACCAGAATTGAGATTGCTGAATCATATGGTATTCCATTTTTAAATAGAACTTTTCTATTTTGGGGAACCTCCATACTGCTTTCCATCATGGCTGTGCCAATTTACAACCTTTTATGGTTCCATACAAATGTTAGGATTGTTTGTTCTATTTCTGTGAAAAATGCTGTTAGAAATCTGATAGAGATTGCATTGAACTTTTAGATGGCTTTGGTTAGTATGGAAATTTTAACAATATTAATTCTTTCTATCCATGAATACAGGTTATCTTTTCACTTATTCATGTCTTCTACAATTTCTTTCATCAGTGTCTCAGAGTTTTCACTCCACTGTTTGATGCTATTGCTTATGGAATTGTTTTCTTCACTTCTCTTACAGATATTAAATTGTTGGTGCATAGAAATGCAAAAGTTTTTTTTTTCCTTATTGATTTTATAACCTACAATTTTACTGAATTTATTAACTTTAAAAGTTTTTTAGCAGAGTCTTTAGGGATTTCTACATATCAGGTCATGTTGTCTGCATAGAGAGACAGTTTTACTTCTTTTCCTATTTGGATGCCTTTTATTTCTTTTGTTTGCCTAATTGATATGGCTAGGACTTCCAGTACTATATTGAATAGAAATGGTGAGCATGTGCATCCTTGACTTTTTCTGATCTTAGAGGAAAAACTTCCAGTTTTTTGCCATTAGGTATGATGTATGTTATGGACCTTTCATATATAGCTTTTATTACAGTAAGGTAATTTTCTTCTATTCTTAGGGTTTTTTTTTATAGTTTTTATCATGAAAGGATGTTGACTTTTGTCAAATGCTTTTTTGCATCTACGGAGATGATCTTGTTGTTTTACTCCCTTATTATGTTAATGTAGTATATCACATTAATTGATTTGTATGTGCTAAACCATCCTTGCATTCCAGGATAAAACCACTTAGTTATGTTGTGTGATGCTTTAAATGTGCTGTTGAATTTGGTTCACTAGTATTTTGATGAGGATTTTTGTATCGATGTTCATCAGAGATATTGGCCTATAGTTTTCTTTTCTTATAGTGTCTTTTAAATCTGACTTTGACATAAGGTAATATGGGCCCCAACAAACAGGTTTGGAATAGTTCTGTCCTCTTTGGTTCTTTGGAAGACATTGAGAAGGATTGACATTTTTTTTTTCTTTTTGTTTTTTTGTATGTTTTTATTGTTGTTTGGGAGGCTTGGGGCATTTTTTTGGCTTTTTCTTTGTTTGTTTTGGGGGTTTTGTTGTTGTTATTGTGTTGGTATTCATTCTTTAAGTGTATTGGAGAATTCACCAGTGAAGTCATCTGGTCCTAGGCATTTCTTTGTTTTGGGAGCATTTTGATTACTGATTCAATCTCCCCACCAGTTTTAGGTCTGTTCAGATTTTCTATATCTTTATGACTCAGTCTTAGTCTTGTATGCTTCTAGGAATTTATTCATTTCTTCTAGGTTATCTGTACCACATCATCTTGCATGTCAAAATGTTTTTCTGTAATAATTTTCCTTGTTCTAGATGTACATCTTAAGAAATTCTTTTTTTTTTTTAAGAAATTCTTTTAGGAAATGTATGGTGATAAACTCTCATAGTTTTTATCTCTTTGTAAATATATCTCATCTTCATTATGGAAGAACATTTCTTAAGTATAAAATTTGTTATTGAAAGTTACTTTCTCTCAGTACTTTAAAGTTATTATTCCACTGTCTTCTAGCTTACACTGTTATTTTAAAGGAGGGTGATGTAATTCTAAATGTCTGCTCTTAATGTCTTTTTGAAGACCTTTTATATGTCTTTCTTTATCATATTATGGCCCCAGATATAAGTTGCTTTTTTTAATATCTCCTGGAATACATTGTTCTAGTAGGATTTTTCTTTGTAATAGGAAATTTAGAGCCATTGTTTCTTTAGATATTACCCCTTTTTAACATTGTTACCTATTTCTGGCACTCTGATTGGGTATACCTAGACATGTTTTCTATATATTATGTCTTTCATAACATCCATTTTTTTATCATTCTGTGCAGGACCACAAGTAGTTCTTTGACTGCATTGTTCACTTTGCTAATTGTCTGTTCAGCTCTTAATAATCTCTATTTAATTCTTCTACTTGGATTTTAAAAATTCAGCTATTAAATGTTTAATTTCTAAACATGTTATTTGTATTCTTTTCTAATAAATATTTTATTTATTTATTTGGGAGAGAGAGAGAGAGCGCGCACAAGCAGGGGGAGGGGCAGAGGGAGAAGCAGGCTCCCACTGAGCAGGGAGCCTGATGTAGGGCTTGATTCCAGGACCCTTGGATCATGACCTGAGCTATAGGCAGATGCTTAAATAACTGAGCCTCCCAATTGTATTCTTATTCAATTCTGTGCATTTAATTTTGACAGTATCTTTTTGAATGTGTGTATTTGTGGTTGTATCCTTTAATGTGTGGTTAACATTTTGTATATAAATGCCTGACAATTCCAACATTTCAGTTCTTAGAACTCTTTTGTTTTGTTTTGTTTGTTTGTTTGTTTCTGTTGACTTTCATCATTATCTGAATTCTCTGGGCTTGCTGATATTTCATTCAAGCTTATTGATCTTAATCTGTGGAATTGCTTGGATCTACTTGTGAAACTTACTTCCAGAAAGCATTTGCTTCTACCATTGCCACTATTCAGAGGGCACCACTGACTGGAATCACTTCAATACTACCACTGCCTCTTCTCTCCCAACACACACACACACACACACACACACACACACACACACCCTACATTCAGTGCATAATTCCAAGCTCAACTTTCTACTTCCTGATGGTAACTTTATGACAGTCATCTACCTAGGTCAACTACTTGGGTCCAATAAATTGCTGCATCCCTGAACATAGCATGTAGATTTTTATTTGTTTGTATGTTTGTTTTCCTGTTTTAAGGTGTTGGCTATAGAAAATTCCTCTACCTCTTATGCAGCCAGCAGTGCCTCAAAGCACATTTCCTGTGCAAGCTAATTTATTTTTCCATGAAAGAGCCCTTCAAGAATACCTATCAACTATAACAACAAAAGCAAAAGTTCTAGTTTATTTTGACTAGAAAGTAAATGATATGTTTTCATGATTAATTCTGATAAACTCTGGCCAAAATCAGTGCTGTGTAGGAGCCAGGTAAAAGTATGACACAGGGATGGTATAGGTGGAGGATATATAATCAATGCACAGAAGTCAGTTGCATTTCTATACACCAACAACAAGACAGTAGAAAGAGAAATTAAGGAGCCAATCCCATTTATAATTGCACCCTAAACCATAAGATACCTAGGAATAAACCTAACCAAAGGTATAGTTTTCTGTACTCAAAAACTATAAAGTACTCATGAAAGAAATTGAAGAAAACACAAAGAAATGGAAAAATGTTCCATGCTCATGGATTGGAAGAACAAATATTGTGAAAATGTCTATGCTACTAAAGCAATCTACATGTTTAATGCAATCCCTATCAACCTATTCATTTTTTTCAAAGAAATGGAACAAATAATCCTAAAATTTATATGAAACCAGAAAAGACCTCAAATAGCCAGAGGACTGTTGAAAAAGAAAGCCAAAGACTTCAAGCTCTATTACAAAGCTGTCATCATCAAGACAGTATGGTACTGGCACAAGACAGTATGATACTGATCCACAGATCAATGGAACAGAAAAGAAAGCCCAGAAATAGACCCTCAATTCTATGATCAACTAATCTTCGACAAAGCAGGAAAGAATGTCCAATGGGCAAAAATGAACTATGGGGACTTCATCAAGATCAAAAGCTTCTGCACAGCAAAGGAAACACTTAACAAAACCAAAAGACAACTGACAGTATAGGAGAAGATATTTGCAAACAACATATCTGATAAAGGGCTAGTATCCAAAATCTATAAAGAACTTATTAAACTCAATGCCAAAAGAACAAATAATCCAATCAAGAAATGGACAGAGGACATGAACAGACATCTCTGCAAAGAAGACATCCAGATGGCCAACAGACACATAAAAAAGTGCTCAACATCACTCAGCATCAGGGAAATACCAATCAAAACCACAGTGAGATAAAACCTCACACAAGTCAGAATGGCTAAAATTAACAAGTCAGGGAATGACAGATGCTCACGAGGATGCGGAGAAAGGGGAGCCCTCCTACACTGTTGGTGGGAATGCAACCTGTTGCAACCACTCTGGAAAACAGCATGGAAGTTCCTCAAAAAGTTGAAAATAGAGCTACCTTATGACCCAGCAATTGCACTACTGGGATTTACCCTAAAGATACAAATGTAGTGATCTGAAGGGGCAAGTGCAC